CATGTGCTAGCTATGATGTAGTACATGTGTATACATGTGCTAGACAACTTGTATGTCAACAAGAATGATAGCAGATACTAGTTATTTGGACTTATCTTCTATAGCACTTGATGATTGTTATATCTCCACAAGACTAGTGCTTACCACGACAACAAATAGACTGGTGATAGCTACTTACGACTCAACCTTCTTAGGATTATATTTTTATATTTAATTTCTGAGTCATCCCAGCAGGTGCTCCTTACAGCACCCCATCTACTCCCCCTCTACAGTCAACTCCCAAGGAGAGACATACAACTCCTTAAGAAGAGACATATTGAGTATTATTACTGCTGGAATAATACAGTAATACCCCACCAGAGCCTTCTTTCTGGTACAAACATAACTTCAGTCAAGGGCTGAACATGCCATAGGATTAAGCTTTAAGAGAACCCAATACACATGAATGCACGGGGAAACTGGAAAGAAACATTGAATCACTTTCAAAAAGCATTTTAGGTGAATAAATTTGGAATACCAGATTAGGCAATTAAGACCTTGTCAGTGCGCAAGAAAATTCAAAAAGAAGTCCAGGTCAGGTATAGCTTATGTCTTTGAAGAGTCTGAGCATTTTCGCCTAATTAATAGGCTTGATCCTTTATCACTTAGAAAGAGAACAAGGAAGTCCAACCAGCACGAAGCATAAGAAAATCAAGATGCAACTAGAAGACTGCATGTAATGTCGGGAAATGTCTAGATGTTTAAAACATATCCAATCACTATAATTATGGGGGCGCATTTCAATTCGATGTCTATCTTTAGATGCTATGTCTTGCATAGTTCAAAAAAAAAGAAAGATAAAAAGTTGTTCAGTCACATGGAACATCTCAATTACTAATATGTATGCCAGGGTCAAGTCCAGGGGAGTCACGCAGATGACGCACAACTAGTGGCCACATGTTTTGCCAATTAGTCACTGGTAACATGAGCTCAAGCCACTTAAAGAACCCATGTAAAGAAAAGATCATCACAAGGATATAGTTACAACTTTGTCAGACTGGATGCCTAGCATCAGGATTCGAACCTTAAGAAAATCAGAAAAATAATCCTATATAAATCAAATGAAGAGGTTTGATGCATCATACCGAAAAATTTTATTTTGTGTCTCATACAACTAGACAACTGACACTAGTTGTATGAGGCAACTTTTTTGTCTCACAGTTTTGTGGACCCAAATTTTTGTGGACCCAGAAGTGTAAGATTGGGGTCCACAAATTTGTGAGACAAAAAGGAGCCTCATACAACTAGTGTCAGTTGTATGAGACACAAAATAAAATTTCTCCATCATACCTGTTTTCCCTGCGCTTTCTTTTTGCACCCGAAGACACAACCTTGTCTTCATTCTTGTCAGGCATCACTTTTTCACCTGACACATCAACAACAAACACTTCAGAGAAGAAAAATATGCAAACACATATGTACATCTCAATAAAATTTATGATGAACTAAAGTTTTTCAGAAAGCAACAGTCCTCAAGAACAAAATATTTGGAAAAGGTGCTGCTACTGTCATACCCGGACAAGGGCATCCCAACGCATTCTTCTGTCGTGCAGTTTGAAGTACTTGATCTCCAGCTACTTTCGTATCTGTTGTGTCTACTGGAGATGCATAGAACATTAATAACTGAGCTGTTTTATCTGCCCCAACTTAAGATAGATCTCCCAATTCAAAGGAACAAAAGAAATTCCCAAAACATTGTAAGCATACCATTACATGCTGAAAATGAGTTCACTGACAATCCAAGATGAAGATCAAGATTTGGTTGAATCAGTTCGTCACTAAATAACTGTGTCGATGCATCAGGCTTCACATCCACAGGGGTGGCAGAAAGCTGCACTGTATCTGGACATTCATTTTGTGACAAGGACAGTTCTATATTGGGAGTATCAGGAACAGAATCAGGGATCAAAATGCCAGTATTTATAGCCTCTTTAGGATCTAGGTTTGAAAGGTTTCTGTCTGGTACTTCACCCTGTTTGTTCCTCTCAACAATTGAGACAACAACAGCTGTCTCACCAGCATCAGCAACAGACACAGACACTTCCCCTGAAAAAGAAGCCTCAATCAAACAGTTATTGCTGGCACTTTCTGGACCAAACTTCTTGTTAGATACTGAACTTTCGGGTATCTTGTCGACACATCTGCATAGTGAGATAATCATAAGAATCATGTTTAAAACCACTGCAGGTGCTCAAGATGAAAATATCAACCTCCACCATCCAAAGAAAAATATATACATAGAAGGCATTAGAAGGAAATATTTTTATAGGTGGCAATTTAGGCTAACTACAAATTTTATGTTTAAATTCTAAGCAAGACAACAGATCCTAACTAATCCTGAATATTCTAGTAATGATTACAGCACCTTATTAGTAAATAATCAAGTATTGTCTTTGCATAATCTTAATAATCCCCCTCAAGCTGGATCCTACATGTTATATGTCTAGACTTGCTATAATATATTCAATCTGCGAACCTGTAAGGTTTAATACAAACCTCTGCAAGTTGGTAATTTGAGTTGGCGAAACCGATGACAATACATCCATTTTTAGTTTTCTATCTAGTATAATGAAAATTCACCTTTTATGTTCTTTCATGGAAAAACGGATTGAGATGATCTGATTACATATCAGCTTCATCTGTTTAACTACATTACACATCAACTCTTGATGAAATTGTTTCAACTAGATAAATTCACAAGCTACAAGGGGCGTAGCTCGCTGTTCTACTTCCATAATTGATGCTTTTCACTCCCGAGAGAGTATATTTCCTTCAAAGTAAATTGTCCATCTGAAGGAGAACTTGCTCAATCCACATCATAGTACCCAGAAAGACCCATGTTTTCATATAACAAACATTATGCTAAAGCTCTTTGATGTACTTGAGAATGCAGATTAATACATCCAATAACCACTATATTAAGCATGGAGAAACTAACCAACCACACCCATTGCAATGAGCCAATAAATTATTTGACAATGTGTCCTTGAGATAATTTAGCTTATCACTAGTCTCTGGTACTTGCCACGGTCCTCCAGTGGCACCCCTGTCCAGCAACGACATGACAGTTGGATCCATAGCAACAACATGACAGTTGGATCCATAGCAACAACATGACAGTTGGATCCACAAGAGTTAGCAATACAACATGCATGTTTCCTCGAAGATGTCCAAAGTGAGTTTCTTTCTAAGATTGCAATGTTCGTCTTGAACAATGCTTTTCTTGTTGTTCATCACCTGTTTTGGACGATGCTACTTCAATGCCTAGAAAGTATTTTAATTTTGCAACTTGGTTTAAAAGTTTCTGAACAGTTGTCACATTATGATCATTGCCATCATGATAACTTCATCACATAGACTGTCGGATATTGTGATGAAAGAACACTGAATGATCAGCTTTACTTCGAGCCATCCAAACAGTTGGACCATGGAATTGAACATCTAAATGATGCTCCATGGGTTTGTTTTAGACCATATAATGACCGTCATAGTCATATCAAGCTTGAATCTCCTTGAGCAACAAACCCTAATGGTTACTCTATATCACCTGCTTGACTAGTTCACCATGCAAAAATCAGTCTTATCAAAGGCGAAAAGCGCAAAAAAACTCTAAGGTTCGTTGGGGCTTTAAGCGCAAAGCGCAAATAAAGCGTGGGCTTTAATGAAAAAAGGCGCAACGGGAGAAAAAGTAAAAATATGCATGTAGTCCAAGACTAATCATTATAAGCATGAATAACAAATATATGGACAAAGAAATTGAAAAAAAAAACTCACGATAAAGTGAAATATCAATTGTTTAAGTTCGCCTTTTCAGGATTACACTCATTGGCAAGGAAAAGTATGCCTTAGAGCTTTGATACGACACTAAAGCGCACACAAAGCGAGGCGAAGCGCACAACGTGTTGTGTGCCTCGCTTCAGGGCTTCAGCGCGCTTTAAGCGCGCCTTTGACAAAACTGGCAAAAATACATTCTTAATATCAAACTGAAGAAGCATCCTATGGTATATTGTTAATGCAAAGATAACTAGTCTTCCAGAATCACCTTTCTCTAACATATTGGTGAGATAGTGTCAATGAAGAAAGAAACTCCCTGGGGAGTCCTCGTGCATCCCTCTTTTAGACAAAACTTTTTGCCTTTTTACTTCTCAACAAAATGAAGAACGAAGACAAGAATCAAAGCAAAAATCACTGAAAAGGAGGGCCCAAGAGCGGCAAACACAATGGACTGTAGTCAGAAGGAGGTCACCGACCTCAAGTGAGTGCGCTGATGCAAGGCCAGACGAGGGAAAGCCGGAATGTCAACTTTCAGAAGTCCAAGTTAGATTAGTTAGATTCATGAAGAATTTATCCATGTAGAGTAAATTGGAAGGTGGTTACAGATGAAAATGAGTTTCCGGCTTCAAAGGAGTCGTCCAATATGATATGGAAAATTTCTCACACATCAACCAAAGTTGATCAGTATGTGAAGATAGCGGCTAAGAGTATGGAACTCTAGACAAAGGTCGCAGGTGCTCTACGCTTCTTCCATGAATGTGGTCAGCCTAGAAGAATACTGAAGAGCCTTTTCAACTACACTGTTGATTTCAAAAAGTCGGTTTGATTCCCTAAATCTGATAACATGATAATTAAATAGAGTATGTTGAAAAGATTGTAAAACTTGGTTATTCCTTCAAACATGGCTGGAGATTCTTAGTAAATTACAAAGATTAGAGTTTAGATAAACTACATATTATGATTCTAGGAAAGATTATAAATTCTGAATATTATAGACATAATTGCAGTAGCTAAGTACAAATCATGAGTAATCTTTGCATAGTCTCAATAACACACAAGTCAGACACGCACAGGAAAAAAAAACATGTTCAGGTGTGCCGTGGTTAATTGAGGTGCACGTAATCTAGCTCGGACACCATGGTTATCAAGAAAAGAAACATACACATGTCCAGCTACTAAATACATATAAAAAGGAAATGTGGAACTAAATATCCATGCTTACCTTGGGCATAGCCATGAACTTTCAGAAGTGTCCTCAGTGTCAAATCCAACACAAAAGGCATGATACCTACACAAATATATGCAAAGAATCAAAGGAGAAACCCTAGAGAAAAATAGAGAAATTAAGAACTTCGGTGATATGAAACACGTTCTCAGTTTAAGAAAGTTTACATTAGGAGAAAATGTAACAGAGAATCCCACTGCTGGAGAAAGTGATTATATCATTTAGAAGATACATAAGCAGGCTTTTTTTCTTGAGAATCCGTGTATCATAATCAGGTAAGAAACTCGGATTTTGCATGAAATATCAAGGAAAATGCTAATTGATTGAGCTATCAGACCTACTGATAAGATACCTCATGTACCTAAGGGTTGTAAGTTGTAACTTAACATATCAACTGTTAGCGGAAACGTAAAAGAAAGAACACAAGATTTAACGTGGTTCGGATCAAAATATCCTACGTCCACCAGAGAACAGTTGCCTTTTTAATATTAACAAAGGAAGGGGAGAGTTCCCAATTACACTTAAGAGAATTTCTCTCTTAACTCTCTACTCACTACAATGTGTTGTATTATTTTTGGGATGGTTTCTACAAATGAAGGAGTGTATCTATTTATAGAGCTAAAGACCTCCTCTTGATGTCATTGGTGACATCAAACTACCTCCTCTTGATGTCATGGGTGACATCAAAGGAGGAAGCTTCCTCCTAGCATCCACACCAACTCTTTCCACCAACTCTTCTAATTGGCATGCCATTGTTGACTAAACATAAACCAAC